ATACCTTTTCTTTATCCGTGGGCAAGACACTCAGTGGTTTATTGGTATGGTAACAGTATAATCTTTCTGTGATTTTCATCAGTCCTTGTGTCACGAGCAGCATCTGTGAACAAGCCATCAGCATTTGGACCATCGGGGCATCTAACAATCTAACAGGGCTCAGGCCTCGTCGACCGACTTTGTGCCATTTGCTAAATCTAGTAGCTTAGAAAATTTTGGGGCAATTAAGAATATCCCATAGTACTACTAAATTAATTTTCAGTCCTAGCCCACATATGTAAATCCAACCTGTCTTTAAGACATTAACTATAACAGGCATAAAATGTCATCACCACTACTATTATCAAAATAGGTCCTATTTTTACATATGCAACACAATCTATATTAGGGAATATTTGATCAATAGTACAAACTTTAGTTGCTTTAATAACTGAATAAGCTGCTTTTAGTGTTTTACAGCCACTAACCTTTTGTAAATGATGTCTTCAGAAAAGCCTTATTCTTATTTAACAGAAATAAAGATCAACTTCAAACCCTCATTTATTGATCCTTTAAAAAGAACAAGTATTTGCCCTCATGGAAACAAAACAGTGCCTTGTTGTCATGGTTGCTGTGAAAGTAAGTTATCACACAAACAATAAACATTTTTCTTGTAGAAAAATGTTAATACACAACCAGCAAACACTACAAACATTGTCTTTATTACTCCTCCTTAATTAAGAAAAGAGATTAACCGTAATATTTGATTTAAAAAAAAAAACTCCTCTTAAAACATGTTTTTTATTACAGCAATCTTAACATCCTCTCTATAGTGTAGCTACATTATGATAAACAGTTCCTTATGGTAACATTTTTATATTCCTTCATTTATATTTTAATGTTGAACTTCAGAGCAATCTAGAGATAGATATATAACATGACTTATATCAGTATATTTTTAAGTTTAAAATGCACTGCTCACCACAATTGTTAATTATGAATCCTTGTAATGACTTTTTATTCAAAGTTCTAGTTGTTTTAAAATTAGCATATATTGTGCTCTGATTCTATATATGGCCAGATTAGAGTAGTTATTTATCATAATAGCCTTTTTTTTTTCAAGATGAAGACAGGCTTTCCCGTCATAAGTATAATTTTCAAAATAATTGAAAAATAAATAGAAAAATTTAAGCTCAATTTGCATGAATACCTAGGTTAAAGTGTTTATAGAAAATTTTCTTAATAACCAGTAACCATGGCACAGATAGTATGTAATCAACAACCCATTCCTAATAGTAGTTTATTATCTAACTTAATAGAGAAGATTAGATTAAAGTATTAATCAGTTTTAAGGCTTTTCACGTCTACATCACGGGTGCTAAGAAGTATGTAGCTACTGTGTTGTTAACGCTTGATGTTCAGGCTACAAAAGGCATCTTATTTAAGCTTGCTTCATTACAAATACTCAATATGACAGAAGTTGACCAAGGAACATTTAAAAATTAAAATACTTTTGCCCCCTTTGATTCAGACAGCATGATACAGTTCCATTATAGATAGACATAAAGATGTTGTCAGTTCTTGCCATCTGCTTTGCATTCTTTGCTGTTACAGCTAAGTACGTAGGAAATACTCTTCATGCCCTCCTTTTTTTGGCATCTGTCACTGATACAATTTTAGTTAGCCATCTGTTTAAAGACAAGCATGTGCATTTAGATAGACTTGGCATTACGCACTGCAAGACAGACTTGGAGAAACAAACATTGTAAACAATGTTTTCCGAACACATATATATGTGCTTTCTCTTTAACATCAGCTTTTCCAGTTTTATTTGAGGTCCTTCAAAGAAAACCAAATCAATGTATTTTCATTTGAAAAAACAAACAAGAAAAAGATACATGAAAAAAAACACTAAAGGAAAACAAACTCAGTTTGCAGAGGGTAGAGGTGCTGAACAGCAGGTGTGCAACCTATTATCCTAATTATCATTCATTTTACACGCAATTACATCCAATTATTACAATTACAGTGAGGAAGCACATAGGGGAAAAACAAATGTTCCATGTTTGTTTATTCAATTCATTTTTTTGGTTTGTAGATAAGTGAAACATAACATATGCAACTATTTCTTAGACTTAGACAGACTTTATTGTAATTTTTTACAGTGTATACAAAAAGAAATTACGTTCAGTACAGCTCTCAAGATATTTTCATTTTCTAAAGTGCAGCAGTGACAAAATGTAAGCAGCAGTGAAAAATGTAAACATATGACTGTATACAAGTTACAGTTTCCAACATTTAGGGGTTTTTTTGTTTGTTTTTCTTTAATAACCTCATTTTATGCAACTTTCAGTAGTCTAATGGCAGTGGGGAAGAAGCTGTTTTGGATCTGCTAGACCTGCATCAGATACTATGAAGCCTCTTCCCACAGGGCAGCAGGGAGAACAGTCCGTGGTGGGGGTATGAGGGGTCATTTATGATATTACGGGCTCAGGACACGCAGCACTGGGATGAAATGTCTTTAATGGAGGGAAAAGGAGCCCCGATGATCCTCACTGCTGTTATCATCACTCTTCTCACCTTCTTCCACACCACACAGTGAGACAGCAATGGTTCCCACACCGGGAGCTGTACCTGGGCCAACACATTTCATTTTAATCGCTATAGACATGTGGACAAAATAAAACCGAACTCTCCAACAACTTTAAAGTTTTTTCAGTTTTTTTCAACAGAACAGGAATGACTATTTTGCTATTGCAATTTTAGGGAGTCACAAATACATAGTTGTACTTAGTTAGAAAAAGTCAAAGTATTTATATATGTATATGATCCCGTTATTAATGTTTAAGCAAAGCAGTAGTACACTACTCACAAAAATTAAAGGAACACTTTGTAATCAGAGTATAGCATCAAGTTAAATAAACTTCTGGGATATTGATTTGGTCAGGTAAGTAGCAGAGGGGGTTGTTAATCAGTTTCAGCTGCTTTGGTGTTTTTGAAATTAACAACAGGTGCACTAGAGGGGCAACAAAGAGACGACCATCAAAACAAGAATGGTGTTACAGTTGGAGGCCACTGACATTTTTCCCCTCCTCATCTTTTCTGACTTTTTTTTCACCAGTTTTGCATTTGGCTAGGGTCACTGTCACTACTGTTAGCATGAGGCGCTACCTGGACCCTACAAAGGTTGCACAGGCAGTCTAACTCTTCCAGGATGGCACATCAATACATGCCATTGACAGAAGGTTTGCTGTGTCTACCAGCACAATCTCAAGAGCATGGAGGAGATGCCAGGAGACAGGCAGTTACTCCAGGAGAGCTGGACAGGGCCATAGAAGGTCTACAACCCATCAGCAGGACCGGTATCTGCTCCTTTGTGCAAGGAGGAGCACTGCCAGAGCCCTACAAAATTACCTCCAGCAGGCCACTGCTGTGAATGTCTCGGACCAAACAATCAGAAATAACAGACTTTATGAGGGTGGCCTGAGGGCCTGACGTCCTCTAGTGGGCCCTGTGCTCACTGCCCGACACCGTGGAGCCCGATTGGTATTTGCCACAGAACACCGGAATTGGCAAGTCTGCCACTCGTGCCCTGTGCTTTTTACAGATGAGAGCAGGTTCACCCTGAGGGTCTGGAGAAGCCATGGAGAACATTATGCTGCCTGTAACATCGTTCAGTATGTACGGTTTAGTGGTGGTTCAGTGATGGTCTGGGGAGGCAAATCCATGGAGAAACGCACAGACCTGTACAGGCTAGACAACTGCACACTGACTGCCATTAGGTATCGGGATGAAATCCTTGCACCCATTGTCGGACCCTATGCTGGTGCAGTGGGTCCTGGGTTCCTCCTGGTGGATGACAATGTCCGGCCTCATGTGGCGAGAGTATGCTGGCAGTTCCTGGAGGATGAAGGAATTGATACCATTGATTGGCCCCCACACTTGCCTAACTAAATCCAATAGAACACCTCTGAACATTATATTTTGATCCATCCGACGGCACCAGGCTGCACCTAAGACGGTCCAGGAACTCAGTGATGCCCCTGTCCAGATCTGGGAGGAGATCACCCCATGTCTCGCTAACATATTGTGGCTTCAGCTGAAGACCAGTGTTCCTCGACTATCAGACCAGGTGGTAGGGGAGTAGGGGAGTTGGATGCTTAAATCATCTCTGGCACAGGGATTTGACGTCAGGGGTGTCACTCTTACTTCGTCATTGACATTTGATCTTCAACACTCAAAGAGTTAAAAAAGTGCCAGCCATGCCTTTTTAGCTCATAGGGCTAAAAAGACATTGACTGTCCCTGTCCACATAACACTAACACTGGGTATGGATCCAGTACATTTGATTCTGTCAATCTGTTGAGAAACTTTTGGTCTTACCATCCAGGTGGAGGTTAGTTTGACACTCACTAGGTCTGCCTACATTAGCAGGTTGTTGTAATTTCAGTCTTGTAACTTAAAAGAATTAAAGCACTGCTATTAGTATTTTTGTACTACTGTAAGTACCAAAGCAGAACTACAAAAGTCTAGTACACCACAATGGTATGAACCTTTTTTAACAACAAATTATTCACTAAACGTTTCATTAGGCAGTTCATAATATTCTACCTTACTAAGACATCAGAATGAAATGACCTTTTATTCTGTTGCTTAAAACAATTTTAAATTTTTTTTTTATGTAATTCTGAAACTTTAACTGATTCAATATCTATCAATCAATCCATTTTCTATACCCAGTTCTCCTGTACAGGGTTAGAGTTCCCTATCTCTAGAGGTCTACGGGTGGGAAACAGTATACTCTGGACACTTCAGCGGTCCAACTGCACCACTATGTAGTAAAACTGTCATTCTGCATGTTGTCAAATTAAATCGTATTTAGGTGTGAATTAGTTAGCTATTTTTTTTTATTTGTTATGCATGACACCAGATTTTAAAAGGAATTTGTTTTACCTGTTTAAAACATTACTGTATTATACAGTTTAGTAAAAGCGGAAACAAATGAATTTTGATCAAACCACTCATTTCTATGTTTTATTGCATTGATTGGAAAAAATACTCACAGTTATTCAGTGAGCAACGATACAAAGAAAAAAGTGTGGTGTAATACTGAAACATTTTTTTAAAGAAAACAAATTAACATCATTGCTCTCTATTCATCCTTAGGCTAACCCTGTGTATTTATCACCTCATTTGATCAGACCGTTAAGTTATACAAAACAAAATAACCAGAAAGAACAAGAGTATTTTCACGGTCTGTATCAAAGCAATTACAAAAATAAAAACTTTTAGGTCCCAATTTTTAAAAATTTGCAATCAAATCCTTCAGGCTATTAAGTAACAAGTCCAAGCACAGAAGTTAACATACTGTATTGCACTCAATACAAACATGCCTATAACTTCTGTTTGCTCTGTGCAAATAAGATTAGGTAATCCAACATTTATTGTATAAACTAGTGCATAGTCATGCTTGACATGTTCACGTGTAACATGCACAAACAAATACAAAATTCAATGTGATTCTCTGCTAAAACTGATTTCAGTTGAAAAAATCATATTAGAGATATTTACAAACAAGACATAAGAACATACCACTCGAAAGAGGGGAAGACTTATATTTGATAGATTAAAAGATGAACCCCATTCAATAAAAGTAGCCGCTTCAATATTCTACACATTCACATTTTGCAGAGAATGACATATCTTCCTTTTCCTCTTACTTTTTTTTTACTTCATTGTCATTGTACATACATTGGACAGTACAACACAGGGACAAAGATAACAAGAATCTGTCCAACCTGTCTGGGAAGGTGTTTGAAGGGATTCATAAGCTCCCAAGAACATTTATACATTAGAGAGAATATTGACAATACACAATCAACAACATCATTCTTGACAGAAAAATTGACATTTCCTACAGGTGGACATTTCATGCTTTCAGGTCCTACAATGACTTATATGGAAGATTTTACTTGAAGTAAATTGTAGACTATTAACAGCTTAGACATGTCAGAAAAACAAGTGCAGTATTTAATTATTATGGTCATCTGGCTTTCAGTGTAACCAAATCTATAGAAAGTTTAGTGCATTTGTCCTTTCTTCCATGTCATGAGTCACAGTCAGAGCTACAACCTAAGCAGAAAGTACACTTCAGGTTCAGATTCTGAATGAGCGTTGTTTCCAAATGGAATAGAGTCATCTGTATAGTACCGATCTCGAAAACGGTCAACATTGCCATAATGTACTGATGTGCAGGCTCCTTCTGGTAGCCCCCTGTCCTCCAAATCATCAAGGTAGCCTGCTATGTAGGAGCCAGTAGAGTGTCTGTCAGGTGGTTGATTCTGCACAGGTTTATTCCTCAGTACCACTCCTCCAGTGCTGTCATCACTACTCATCACCACTCCTGGCCTAACTTTTTGAGCCTCTTGCTGTCTCTCACGGGCACGGCTGTTAATGTGGCGCACTCTGCTTTGGCTTCGGGAAGACAGACGTCGGGTAAGTATTGGAGGAGGGGAATCATCTATATTTCTTTGAGCAACTTGAAATGCACTTATTTCTTGAGGTTGTGACTGTTGGCTATTTGCTTCTTGTTGCACCTGAGGAGATTGGGGTCTTTCTCTGAGACCATCATCTAACTCCAAGCTAACCAGTTTGCGTAACTGCTCTGTAAATGGATCACAAGACTTTGTGCGAAAAAAGTGTTTGCCTGATATGTCTTTAGGCTTTTGCCTTGTTGTATGAGGAGTAAAGAAACTGCGACTAATGATATGGTATTTACTTTGAAAGTTGCATGAAATGTCTTCAGAGGTCAAGTCTCCCAGGGACTTAGACTTGCATGGCTTATGGTCTGTGGAATCTATGATAGAAGACTGGAGATAAGCTGATGAAGGTCTCAAATGTGAACGAAGTGAATGTCTTACTTTAGATTGCTCATGGTTTCTGTGTTCAGCAGGGCTGTTCTTATATTTGCAAGTCTGTACATGGTGCTCTTGACCTTGGCTAGGTAGTTGGATGTTTTGAGAAGTTATAAACTCTGTGGAGGGCATATTGCAACCATAGTCTGGTTGACTATGTTCATAATCAGAGGAAGGAGAGTAAAGAGGTCTTTGCCTACACCTATTCTGTGGTGTGGCACATTGTCGTGGAAGGCTTTCTGCAGAAGAAAAACCATGGTAAAAGTCTCCGGTTTCTCTGTTTTTCTGATTGATTTCCGTTCTTTCTTGATGAGATCTACTAGAAGTCATGGTTGATTTACAGCTTCTTAAGTCAGATGTTTTGCTGTAGTTAAGGACCCCAAAGTTGCTCTGAGTTAAGGAGTAACTATTCTGAGGAAGGGGACTATGGTTTGTGGGTCTAGAGTCTACAGATCTCTGATGTCTTAGCTCTGAGTTTTTTTGTTGATGGGCATTTGAGATTTGATTGCATTTTATGACATTACTCACTGGAAATGAGTGCTTTGAAGGGGCTGCATGAAATGATTTTGTTGGGAATTGTGGAGGAGAATATGAAAAATCATGTTTTGGCTGGAAATAGCTAGGAGAGAAGTCATGATTTTGGAAAACAGCTTGGCATTTTACTGGACTTGAAAGCTCAACCCACATCTTGCTGTTGTTTGATATAATCTCAGATGGATCATCAACATTTAGCTCCACTTCTGTAAATGACTCTTCAGTAGAATGGTGGAGGATCTGAACAAGGTCAGAGGAGGAGGACCTTATGTACCTTTTAGAAGTACCCTGCAGTTCCCTAGGTTCTGCATCTGAAGCATATTTTACCTCCTCATACACCCTTTCCTCTAGCTTCAAATCTTCTTCACTCTCACCCCACAGTCCTCCTACACCGTTCAAGCCCAGCCTGCTTCCTGTCTCTTTCCCTAGGTTTTGAGTTGTTTTTACAGGTGAAGAAGCTATACTGCTTGAAGGTGTGCTTCCTGTAGTATCTGCCTGAACATGAACTGTCTGCTTCCTCAGGTTGTACACAGAAACTGGTGTCAAAACCTCCTCATCCAGAATAGTGTAGACCTCTTCAAGTTCAGCAGTTTCTGGGTTCGAGATGAGACCTAGAGAGGTTTTACTTACTTGGTAAGCCTTTTTGTGTGAACAACTTTCATTATTCATATTTGTTGGCTTTTGGTGATTCATCAAAGATTTATTTTGAGACGATGCCATTTGGGCTATAAAAGGACATGTTGATTCCTCTTGGAGTTTAGGTGAGGTGGGTCTGAAGTCCAAAGTCTGGGATGGGGGAATGTTCTGGGATGATGTATTTAGATTCTTTTGGTCAGTAGTCATTTCAAACTGCTCAATCAGAGCAGAAACAGAGCAAGACATTTCCTGTTCATTGTCTAAAGATACAGCATCAATGAGTCTGGAAATAGTGCTGTCATGCAAAACACCAGGACTTTTAAGAACACCATTTGCTCCAGAAACAGTAGCCAAAGATGAAATGGCAGACGACGAGGAGGAGGACACCAATGGTGCAACTGTGAAAGTTGTACTATTTGATGATGTTTCTGGTTTATCTAATGTTGCCTGACTGTTTGTTGAAATTGACATAGCAAATGTTTCCCTTGTTTCTTTAGGGAAGTTGTTGGATTTACTTAGACCTGACTGGTAATTGACATATACTTCCTCCTTTGTTGTTTCTCCACCGCCAATAACCAGGTAGGAAGTCTCGTCTGTTCGATCATGCTCTTTCTTTCTGTTTGTCTTTGAAGGGATATAAATGTTCTTTTGAACAGAAACAGATGATTCTGTAAAAACATTCATGGAGGAAGACCTGGGTCTCTTGAATCCAGAAGCTCCTGTTGACACAGAAAAGGCAAAAAAAGCTCAATAAAGATGGTTAACATATCAAACTAAATACAGAACTTAAGGTACCAGTTCAATTAGCCCCTTCGCCTATTCGCACCAAACATTTCTTCAACCTATTCTGAAAGATTGACAATTGTGTAGTAATTTATTGATAATGTTAGTTATGCAATATAACTTTAGAATCAAACAAAAACATACAGTATAGCAAATTAATTTAAAAAATCATTCAGTTCTATTCTTTTCTAATCTACATATTGTAAACAATCACTTCATTTGTTTTATTTATTTTTTTAAGTAACCATTTTTTAGAAAAAGAATAAATTAGTTGCTGTTGCAGCAGGTATAGATCTGAATCACATCAAAAAATCTTGTCAAGAAAATTTTACGAAATGGCAAAGGGGCAAAATGATGAACACCCAGGCTATCAAGCTTACAAGCACTTTTAGTACGACAGTTTATGGGTCATTCATTCCAAGACAACATCTATACACAAGCAAATGGATGACCGACAACAACAAAGGAAAAGCTGAAAAATGGGTATTGAACATCGGAAACAAAAAAAAAAGAAAAACAAAAAAAAAGACACATTTATAAATATAAAACATGGAAGAAATTTTAAACTGGGGTTGATCTGGTAAAATGGTAGCAAATGGCACATTGATATAGCTTTCAGACCATTTCCAAACCAAATACACTGGGTGAACGCAATGCCAGTCGGCTTTGAACAATGCCATCTCCAGACAACAGTATTTCTCATTACCTGCAGGAAATTCCTAGTCAGTTCTCTACTATAAAGAAACACAACAAATGTAGATTGGACAGAAAAAGCATATTAATGTCTCATAGCAATTAGGCTGAGGTCTCAATTCACATGGTTACTTTGCACGTAGTTTGTTGAAGGAGAAGGAGGGAAAATGCATTTCAGTGAAATCAGGGTTAGGATAGTTGTTACGACATTATTACCATACTTTATGTTGGATGAAAAATTATAGATAGGGCAAATTTTAAAGAGTAGGTTGCATGTAAATTGCGTTAGTGTGAAGAATTTTCAAATTGGCTAAGCGCAAAAATACTCACCGGTGATAGAGTCTGCACCAATGTCATTCTCTTCGTTGTCTGGGGCGCAGATAGACAACTGCCCTTGCAGTAACCTGTCTAAAGGCATGGAAATGGGTCTATGGATAAGAGGCGCTCGAGGCTGAAGTGGCTTCTCTGCTCCCTCTGCCCTCACTGAGGGGCCTTCTCCTCCTGATGCCCCTGCATCAGCACCATTGCCATGATCAGATATCGAAGCCACTGACTCAGATAGAGCCATTTTTGTCTTCTTCCTTCCCTTTGCTGGTGCGCTGGCTGTTCGTCGCAGGAGGTGATCACTAATGGAGCGTTTCCGAAGACCAGAGGTGTTTGTGTCCACAGAGGACTTGGAGGACCGGTTGAAGAACCCTCTTATACCACGTAGTTGATGATTCTAGTAAAATATGCATTAATAGAGAAGGGAAATGAAAAATCCGCAAAAGAGATGTACAGCTGTATTCTACTACAGTGTACATTAGAATAACACTAAAAGTGATCGTACATCAGTTATTCAATTCAAAGAGTAAGAAACATTATAATTACAACTTACAGTAAAACTCCCAAAATCAGTTTCCCATATTTTATAAAAGGAAAATAAGTACAACAAAGAATATTTATTTTTACCTATTAATTGTAAATAGGGTTTCCAAAAGGGTGTAAAGTCATGATAACCCCAAGTTTGCAAGGTTTTAAGTTAGCAAGATTGTCGAAACCACTTACTACTCTAATTTATGTTAGTGGTTTGGTTAATAATGTTTGTTTTGATTTGTCAATAATTTATTTTCTCTATTATAGTTCCTGACAAGCAATTTTGAGCTTTCTGCTTGTTTACATCAGCCATGGTATCACAAAGTTGTCATCTATTTGTCTAATGTCAAATTAAGGCCTCAGTGTTTGCTCGAATATACAATCAGCAATATTTCCGTTTTGTTGTTTTTATTTAAACCCTTACTAAAATGCTCTCAATAGAAATAGTAGAATAGGAAATCTCAGAGGCTATGTGGTCAGGGGCTTAAATACTAGCGTCTGCCAAGACAAATGCTAGATCTGCGCAGAAAAACATGGCAAGCAGGTAAAAGCTGTTACTGGGAAGGGTTTGCAAATGTAAACAGCTTAAGAAATCCCATGATTTAGCCCATAAAAACCATCACTATCAACAGATTGTGAAAAAACTCCTGGAAAGATATGATAGTGGCTCTTGGACTGCATGAAGAGGCTTTGACAAAGTTGTACTGTATACGGCCCGGTTTTGTACTTCCTCATATAGTTTGGTGTTGTGAGCTTGCCCTTTGTGTTGTTTAGATGATTTGAAGCAAAGACGTGTCTCATAGGTAAGAAACACCGGACTTCAAGAACTAGGATTGGAGACCCCTACTCTACAGGGTTTTTATTTGGTGGATTTCATTACATGCTGCAGCTATCTTTAAATTTGTCTTTTGTCTAACACATGCATGAAATTTTCTGGGAAAATGCATTTTGGGTTGTTATTTTCTGTAAGCATAAATCATAAAAATAAAAAGACAAAAACATGAAAACATTACTCTGTAAGTAACATTAGTTAAACTTTTTTAACAGAATTATTGAAACAAACCTTTATAATAAATACACTGTAAAACAAATAGATATTACAAGCTGAACAGAAGCTTCTAAAGGTACTAATTAAATAAAGTTGTATTTAGTGATGGAACATTAAATGATGCCATGAACCGGCTAGATGTCACCCAGATGTCACTAGATGTCATTGTTACATCTTGGTGTAGCATACTTGATGCAGGACGATATTAATTTATACATACAAACGGCACATCTGAAGCATGCATTATTTTTTCATGCAGCACACAGAGAGCTCTGGGGCTCAGTATACCTTGCTAGCTCCTAAAAAGTGCATTATGGTAAAGCTTGGGTTCAGGACAAGAGGGCTCCACTAGAGAGACAAAGAGTGGATGGAGCAAAGCCTCAATTTACTGATGTGTTTATAAAAACAGAAATTTTGTTGTGATTATCTTAATAAAAAAAATTACTTAAAAAGGAGGCTAATGGGAAACATTGAAGAACACCTACCTTCCCATAAACATCATGCACAGACACATGCACAAAAATGGAAGCTTCCGTCAGTCCTTCCAGGTAAACATGCCTGTAACCTATGAGGGATATTGAGAAGTGGGCAAAAGGGCAACAACTGTTAACATATTTTTGATTGTAAAATAGCTGATTCAGGTGAGCTAGTCTGAAGGTTCAGGGTCAACTCTTATGAGCACTAAACCTAACCTGCTAAGTAAAATTTTCATTTTATTGAGAAATATAGATAATTATGATTATATATTTCCCATAACATAAATCCATTGGTATTGCAGTATCCACAATCAAAGCGATTCATTAAAGTAATCCATATCACAGTGTTTCAATCAAGTATTAAGGAGAAAACACAGACCAGGCATCAGACTGCTGAAGGCCACAGTCCGTTGACCGATAAAGTCTCGTCCGATCGGGTCATGGTCCCAGACAAGGAAACGCACAAGTGCCAGCTCAGCCATGTGAAGTGTGAAGGAAAGAGTCTCCTCCCACACTGGATTGAAACCTGAAGACAGAACATGTTCATAATGAATACCATCTTCATTATTCCTATTATGTCTTAAATTCCAACCTGTAAGACTGATATTTAGTTGCTCAAATAATATACTTTTTTAATAAATCAATTCTAATTACCGAACATTTCTCAAAGAGTTTTTTTTTTTTTCAGAGCTCAGATCCTCCATAGTGGCAAATTTGAACAAGTCAGAACTTTTTTTGTTTGCTATTATGCAACTGCTATTAGCAGTTAGGGATTTGAATTCTTGAGATTCTAAAAAAAAGTAGAGCTCTGCACAACATCACGCTGGGTGAGCCCCTCCTTCTTTGCACAATATTCATAAATATCTCTTATAAATGATATACAACAACCATAATTCTAAGTTTTAAGAAGTTTCACTTAATTCAGCAATTTTTTAAAGAATATGTAGAAAGTGTAGTATATTAGTTTGTCTCAATTTAGAGTTGCTTCAACACTAAATAAAAAAAATAAACCATTGGAGAGTACTTTCTGTGTTTTTACAAAAAGAATACATTTTTCACAAACCTTTGAATTGATTTCAAAAATCTCTTCAGTGCAGAATATACCAGTTGAGGATTTTACAAACTACTTTGGCTTTTGAGCACGAGTTGATCAAATGCAGGCTAAATTCTCACTGCTGCTCTTTCACACAAACCCGAGAATAATATTCATTCTTAAGCACATCTGACATTTGCCCAAAAAATTTTGAGCTGTTCAAAACTTTGCTCCTGAACTCCAGGATCCAAAAATTACTGCTAATTCTTTACAAATGTGTACTTTATTTTAAAATATAACTACATATTCCTGATTGATATACAGACTGTTATTTATCCTTAACTTAATTATGGATTCCTGGCAAACATAAGTGGTGCCATTTTCACATAGTTGCCTCATTCTCATCTTTCTCCCTCAGTTCCTGGCTAAGTCTGTTTTAGTTACATATTCTAGGATCTACTCCACTGCCACTAGTAAAGCTAAACATTCATTTTTGGAAAAAATGCCCAAAAAGAAATGATTGCAAATCTTAATGGAAAACACCAGACTCTTTTTAAAATCATGAAAATTTAAGATCTAATGTAATCTAAATATAAAATACAATTAGCTCATTTTTATTCAATTCATAAATCTTAATAGAATCGTCTTTACAGTGCTGAATTATTGGCAACATTCTTGGAAATCAAGATGAATCTGATTATATTTCTTATTTATCCTACCATTGTAGCAAGTGAAACTTAGGATACAGAATTCCAAGAATCATCAGGAATCCCAGAAATCCCTGTTTGAAATGGTAGCTTAAGAATTAAGCATATTGGCTCTGTGAGATAACAAATGTTTGAATCCCAAATAAGACTCAAGGTATAAGCAGCACAAAAAATGTGAACCAGCAACAACCACCTGCCCCTCAATCCCGGCCACCCATAACTAATGTCGCAAAAGTTTTAAGTACACAGTGATAAGAAGTTAAAGCTTGTTCAGACAACTACAAACATATTTCTCTAAAGTGCCAAGTGAAGGACAAAAGAATTTTTGTCTGTGAGAAACAGACAAAAATGCTCAAATCTAGGGAAATACTGCGCAGTGTGTTTTTTTTTTAAGTACTACATAATTACATAAGTATGATTCAATTTTAGGTTATATTTAGAAAAAAAATGCTTAAAGAATGTTTTTGAACAAAGCTAATGTAATATTACATTTCAAATAAACAGTGCTGTAAAATGAGCTAAGCAAGAAATATGAAGTATGCTTTTCTTACCATTGTCATCAACAACTCTCGTCTGTTCCTTGCAGCAGTCAATGGGTAAACCAATTATCTCCACTTCAACCAATGGATCAATAATCTGAAGGAAAAAGAGATCATTCAGATTCTGGTGTGGCACTAGTTTTATTTATGCTCAGAGCTAATTTTACTCCTCTGACCATTTGCATAAGAAATCATATTTGTGGAAATAGTTGAACTATCAAATACAGAAAGACAGACGGATAATGTGAGAACCCTGAACTCTGCTTTGCTCTGTTTTTACCTCTCCACGGTCCCCCAGCATGGAGTCTGGTGGTTTGGGCAGCTGCTGTCCACTAATGATCTTGAGTACGAGCTGTTTCTTGGGGTAAGCTGGAAGTGGGTCATCACTGAATGGGTTGAAAGAGCCTAGAGGAGTAAAGGATGGCGGAGCAGCAACTTCAATTAATGTCATCATTTAATCCTAACATTAGTCCATCTGTCATCGTTATTTCCACTGAGGGCACTTTCTGGGGCTTTTCCTACAACCTACGAGCCTTTATACCTATGCAAGAAGAGCTTGTAAATTACACTATAACACCTCCACTTCTACATTTTTGCATCTGTTTTATTTAATAATGCACAATATTTTATGGCCCATGTGATGTTGGAATTAAAAATACTGAAGATGATAAACAAAAAACTGTTTCTTTTCAGTGAAGTAGGGTTTCTGGGGTGTGCCTAATTTTTTACACACATTTCCTTTTTTTGAATAAAAAAAAACTGCCTTGGAGAAATCTGGTGTGTGACTTTATACATTTGAAATTCACCTTTTAGTACTGTTTACTCTAGGTCACTTAAAAATGTCTTCAGTGGCCTTTCAGATCTTGACACAACAGCTTTATTTCCCATGTAGGTGGCATTTCAGAATATCAAGAATGTTGTTTTTTTTTCACAACCTCAACTAGTGTTGTGCTTAAACATGTTTGATTCCCTTTCAAATATAATGTATCAAAGTATTTCTTGTAGAAAGGATCTTATTTTGCAAATTTTGAAAGTGAGAAAGCTTTTGAAGGAATTATAGGAAACATAGGCTTATCTATTTAACTCTGAAGATAAACTTGTCTTTTTGTTCAGCAGAATGATGACATGTTTGAAACCTTGAATTTTAAACTATATTTAACCAGGATAACTTATTCATTTTCAAATGTATTATTTTTTTCTCTTTCAGGTTAACATTAGGTAGTAGAACCTTGATTTTTTTTTTTTACCTTTAAACCCTTTTAACTCTTAAGGGATGCAAAAATAGTCTTAACTGGATTTTTAATCAGTTTGAATCATATATCTAACATAATGTTTTTTATTCACAAGTCTTCCCCTGTTAGTTGTAATCATAGTTCATAGCAAATGTTGTGTTTACGTCTTGTATTGTGTATTAGGCAATTGTTATATTTAGGGGGGCCACATGCCGAAGGCATGGCCCACCTATTACTATTGCACATACACTATATTGCCAAAAGTATTTGCTCACCCATCCAAATTATTGGAATCAGGTGTTCCAATCACTTCCATGGCCACAGGTGTATAAATTCAAGCACCTAGGCATGCAGACTGTTTTTACAAACATTTGTGAAAGAATGGGTCGCTCTCAGGAGCTCAGTGAATTCCAGCGTGGAACTGTGATAGGATGCCACCTGTGCAACAAATCCAGTCGTGAAATTTCCTCGCTCCTAAATATTCCACAGTCAACTGTCAGCTGTATTATAAGAAAATGGAAGTGTTTGGGAACGACAGCAACTCAGCCACGAAGAGGTAGGCCACGTAAACTGACGGAGCGGGGTCAGCGGATGCTGACGCGCATAGTGCGAAGAGGTCGCCAACTTTCTGCAGAGTCAATCACTACAGACCTCCAAACTTCATGTGGCCTTCAGATTAGCTCAAGAACAGTGCGCAGAGAGCTTCATGGAATGGGTTTCCATGGTCGAGCAGCTGCATCCAAGCCATACATCACCAAGTGCAATGCAAAGCGTCGGATGCGGTGGTGTAAAGCACGCCGCCACTGGACTCTAGAGCAGTGGAGACGCGTTCTCTGGAGTGACGAATCGCGCTTCTCCATCTGGCAATCTGATGGACGGGTCTGGGTTTGGCGGTTGCCAGGAGAACGGTACTTGTCTGACTGCATTGTGCCAAGTGTAAAGTTTGGTGGAGGGGGGATTATGGTGTGAGGTTGTTTTTCAGGAGCTGGGCTTGGCCCCTTAGTTCCAGTGAAAGGAACTCTGAATGCTTCAGCATACCAAGACATTTTGGACAATTCCATGCTCCCAACTTTGTGGGAACAGTTTGGAGCTGGCCCCTTCCTCTTCCAACATGACTGTGCACCAGTGCACAAAGCAAGGTCCATAAAGACATGGATGACAGAGTCTGGTGTGGATGAACTTGACTGGCCTGCACAGAGTCCTGACCTCAACCCGATAGAACACCTTTGGGATGAATTAGAGCGGAGACTGAGAGCCAGGCCTTCTCGTCCAACATCAGTGTGCGACCTCACAAATGCGCTTCTGGAAGAATGGTCAAAAATTCCCATAAACACACTCCTAAACCTTGTGGACAGCCTTCCCAGAAGAGTTGAAGCTGTTCTAGCTGCAAAGGGTGGACCGACGTCATATTGAACCCTATGGATTAGGAACGGGATGTCACTTAAGCTCATATGTGAGTCAAGGCAGGTGAGCAAATACTTTTGGCAATATAGTGTATTTATTCCGCGTATTATTAGGGGGGCCACATGCCGAAGGCATGGCCCACCTATTACTATTGCACATATTTATTCCGCGTATTATTATTAGGGGGGCCACATGCCGAAGGCATGGCCCACCTATTACTATTGCACATATTTATTCCGCGTATTATTAGGGGGGCCACATGCCGAAGGCATGGCCCACCTACTACTATCTCACATATTTATTCCGCGTATTATTAGGGGGGCCACATGCCGAAGGCATGGCCCACCTACTACTATCTCACATATTTATTCCGCGTATTATTTTTATTATAGCTTATAGTTCTCCTCGCCACCAAAAACTTCGGCGCGTAACTAGTCACGCACCATTCGTCGGATCGGGTCCAAAGTTGGCACACGCGTCGGGACCAATGGTGCGATGCGTGCTTGTATAAAACTTTCTCATTAGTCCGAAGGTTCGCGAATTATTAGCGAAAACGTCGCAAAAAAAATCCCATAGGAAATGAATGGGGAGAGGAAAAAAAAGCATAAAAAACAGCACTTCACTGTGTCGGCATACATTCATGTAGAAAAACAGTTTAAAGCTCAGTTTGTAGATAAATCCTTCGTCTATTTAAAACTGAAGACGGTATGTTGATAACTGCTACGGTTTTTGTATAATCAGACCTCAAGCGCCACAAAGTTTTAGCAAAATCCAGCCTCCTAGAGTGGAGCAACTGAAAATTTAGAGTGTGAGGCAGCCGTTTTTTTAAGACCCAAAAACATTTTAAACTCGCCCTCACGGCCACATATTTATAGCTAGAGTCACCATTTTTGGTCAGTTTGTAGACTGAAACCTCTGGACCCACACAATGTCTTCGGAATTACGGTAGGATTAATACTTTTCCTTAAAAACCCTCCAGACCGACCTAAAGTCGATGAAAATCAGAGCCGTTTTTCATTGGTTTTGGAGCAGAAGAGGGGAGAAAAACGAACAACACTATGTGTTTTCAAATCGTCATAAATATTGTTCTGAAAGACACACATACACCAAAGTTGGCACAGTTGGAGTCGAAGGATGGCTGACGCTCACGGTGAAAAATTTTTTTGAATAACTCATACGGTTTTTGCTCAGCAGTCGTTTGTTCGGAGGGTGTTCTAAGCACCTTAAAGCTAGGGGACAGTGAGCTGCTGCAGCTAGCAGTTAGAATCTAAGGACTGAGGACCCGTTTTTTCTTATTCTTTCTCTTCCCATTCAGGTTGTAGATGACCTACAGCCATGAAAGTTACTCCAATTGAAGACAAGATATAGCTGTCGCTTAGATAAAAATAATTTTTCAGATACCTTTTACGGTTTTTACTCAGCAGTCGTTTGTTCGGAGGGGTGCTTTAGCAGCTTAAAGGTTAGTGAGAGTGAGGTCCTGCAGTTAAAACAAAGGGAGGAGCAGGTGGGATCAACCATTTTGTTTGTGCTTCGTTTTGGGTTGTGAAAGACCTACAGACATGAAAGTTACCCCAGTCTGAGACAAAGGATAGATGTTTCTTTCACTGAAAGAATTTTTCAAATACCTTTTACGGTTTTTGCTCAGCAGTCGTTTGTTCGGAGGCTAAGCACCTGGAAGCTAGCTGACAGTTAGCTTCTGCAGCAGCCTGCCTCAGTGCAGCTGCTGACATCTTAGTGTGAGGCGGCCGTTTTTTTAAGATAAAACATTTTGTTCTTGCCTCACGGCCACATATTTGGAGCTACAGTCACCATTTTTGGTCAGTTTGTAGGCTGAAACGTCTGGACCCACACAATGTCTTCGGAATTACGGTAGGATTAATACTTTTCCTTAAAAACCCTCCAGACCGACCTAAAGTCGATGACAATCAGAGCATTTTTCCATTGGTTTTGGAGCAGCATTGGGGAGAAAAACGAATGACATTATGTGTATTTAACTCGTCATAAATATTGTTCTGAATGACACACATACACCAAAGTTGGCATAGTTGGAGTCGAAGTATTGCTGATGCTCACGGTGAAGAAATTTTTTGAATAACTCATACGGTTTTTGCTAAGCAGTCGTTTGTTCGGAGCTGTTCCTCACATTCAAAAAAGCCTGAGAGCGAAGGAACCATAGTGCTGCGCTTTTCTCTCTGTCACAGACAGGCTCGTTAAGCGTTGTCAAGGTAACCGTGCTTCAAACAGATTTTACCTCTGCTGTTTTAAACAGCACATATTAATCTAATGGAGGGTGAAAGCACTGATTTAACATTGGGAAATGGATACTATATGACTGCTGTCCATGACACTTCCCTTGCCACTCAACACTGATAGACTTTCAAAATAAGACTCCAGGGACCCTACAAAATAAAAGCCTCTATATTTTTTACATATATTTATTGCCCTATATGGCTCAACATTATGACCCAAACTCAACCCCATTTTAGAGAATAGACTCTAGGAGACTGTTTAAAACACACCCTATGGCAAATTTCAAAATAAAAGCCTCCCATTTCATCTTCATCTACTGCCCTAATAACATGGAAAAAAGAGTGATTTAACGATTGGAAAGTCATCAACTATCATTGCTGGGTCTGAACATTTTCTCTAAACACAACTCTGTTGGACTTTCAAAATAAGACTCCAGGGACCCTACAAAATAAAAGCCTCTAGATTATACTAATGCAATAATTGATGCAAATGGCTCAACATTATGACCCAAACTCTTCCAGGTTGTTTTTATTAGACTCTAGTGACCTTTTCAAAACACACCCCAGAGCAAATTTCACAA